TCCAGAAAGTCCTATACTTCGTTGTGATGTTTGCGCGTACGCTGCGGCTCGCCTCGTCGGCATAGAGTCGCGGATATATCGCTCACCTTGGAGATTCCCGCAGCCGATCCAAAAAAGTTGGCGAAAACGACTGATGCCTGTCTCCTAGGGGTTGAGGAAGTGTATATAAACCCTTCGCGCCTGTCTTCTCCTCTGTTCTCCCGCTCTCCTCATACACTCGAGAGTATTCGCGATCCAAACCCCATGAAAATAAATATGCGATTTCCACATGTTCTGCAGTCAAGTCCAAAAAGCAGTTTAAATGTCCGGAGCGTGTCGAAAGCGTCAAGTTCATGATGCAATGGATTTCCGGTGTGCATTCTTCGAAACGGCGTACGCCAACTTGATGGCTGGGGTTCTTTTGGTAGTGAAGAAAAGCATGCGACATTTCCAAGATTTTACGTATGTGTTCTCTTGCTTGATGAGACAAAAATACTCAAACCGCATGGTTATTGGTTCTGTGTCCAGTCTATAGAGCGCCGCGCTCTTGTTGTTTAGGCAGAGCGTTTTTGTAAAACCAGCTTTGGCTCCTCAGCCACTGCTTTTTGCATAGAACAACGTCCTCGAAAATAGAGCCGAAATCGGAGTGTGCTGTGCGTGCGAAAGAGTTGTAGGGCTTCGGGTGGGCGCAATGAACCAAATTCACCGAGGGCCTCTTGATGTGCGTCGCACCGCTTTTTGTTTAGGGTGAAGAGTGCTTGCACCAAAAACCTAGGCAAGGCCTAAGACTAGGCGCTAACAATATCTTTTCCCTTGAAGGTTCGAGAGACGCGTGTGCACCTGGAGCGTCACTTGGTGGGTCTAGAATTGGGGGAGAACCCTTCTTAGCGCCAAGCTATGGCCTTCCCACCTCTCGATGCGACGCTTGTCATGCCTCTACACTGCGTCCCGCACGCTTGTAACGCGAACCTTCATTTCTGGTTCTTATACAGCCCATGGTATTTGGGCATAATTCTAGCCGTCTTCCGGTCCTATACCGTTCGGTTGAGCCCACGGCTTCGCCCTGATTCGTCCCGGCTGCGCCCCTTCCAAATGGGCCACAAACGACGATATGAGGAGTTCATAGGATCAATGAAGTCGTAGGTGCCAAACAATTGCGCTCTTATTTTGGTTTTTGGTGATATTTTTGTGCGACGGTCTCTATCTACGTAGTTGCAACTGCTGATCCGTCAAATAGACTATTAGAGACAGGCAAACACTCTGATTTCATCATCAGCTGCGGCGAGGACACGTACAACGTACACAAATCCATCGTCTGCTCACAGTGCGAGTTTTTCGACGCTGCAAGCAGGTTTGGGAAGGTTAGTGTTTCAAAGTGAGCAAAGTAAGTGTGGACGCTGATGCGCTTACTAGGAAGGAGAAGAAGGCAAGGTCGACTTAGTGGATGACGAACCCGAAATCGTCAAACACCTGGTCAATTATCTGTACGAAGTGGACTACCATGTTCGGTCCGAGGAAGTGGATGGCCCTTGGGTATTTCGCATGAATTGGGACTTTGAGAAGGCCCCTAAATACACTCCCAGACGTAGAATAATTCTGGACTGCTCTCTTTGGGCCACGTCTGCAATGAAAATGGTGGAAATATTGGAACTCCACCCCGATATAATCAAGGTATGCTGCTATTGTCACAGAGTATCCTTTTGTTTATCTTGCTGACGTTGAACCACAGAAACAGAAGGTATCCTCTAGGGTTATCGAACTGCATCCGATGAAAACGGAACACAAACTTATTATCAAGACTCTGGTGAAATACTGGAAGGAACTTCAAGCCCAAAATGCGGAGGCAATTGGAGCAATACCGAAGCCTACCGGTACGGAAGACCCGATCACTCACGCCAAAGTATACGCACTAGCAGAGAAATACAATCTCAAGGGACTTAAAGACCTAGCCCGGGAGAAGTTTACAGCAAGTCTGGAACATACATTCCCCGGTCTCGAGTTCTTCAATGCCGTGGATGTCGTCTTTACATCCACCCCGGACAATGATCACGGTCTCCGCAAGGTTGTTGCATTCCATTTGTCCCAGCAAAAAGAAATGTACGGAATGTACGGACGGCTTGAACACGCTTTGAAATCGACACCGAGTCTTGCGTTCCATATGATATGGTGTGAGTATGTCAGTCTCGAAGAGTCAACGCTTAGGGATGCCAGCGACGAAACTCTAAATGACTCGATGACTTCGAATTTGCCTTAGGCGATCGAAGATGGCTATGTTATCAGATTACTCCGCGATGGGCTATTCGGAAGGCCATTTGCTGGGTGTACCGCTCGCCCGATGGGACAACGCACAATCCGCGCCCTTCTGGAAGTACTGCCCGGTAGTCTCTCTATGCGGTTGAAGCTGGTACCTGTGGCGTGACGCTGTATCATCATACACACGTGGCTCCAATTGTCTTTAAACGACTCAACGAACTCTGAGTACACCATCCCCTTGTTATTATTCCCTGACATCATCTACAAGATACCTATGATTAACCAGTTAAATGAAATCATTTGATACAATAGCCCAGCTGATACAGACACTCATCGTTCGGACAACTCCCCGTAACATCCTTGCTCGAGCACGACATCACCGTTTCGATAACCTTACGATCCATCGCATCCTTCAACTTGCCCTGCCGATTATACCGCGCGTTATTTCCAACTGCATCATAGATGCCGATGCAATCAAACTTGCCCTGATCCGTTTCGCCCGTGAATTTCAGCTCGACTTTCATGTTTGCGACCTCCTTCCCATCGGCATCAGCAACGCTGACCTTCACATACTCGAGCGCGTTGCAACACCTGATGACCTTACCGCGCATGTCTGGCTTGTTACCGCGGCTAGTCGGTGGGAAACACATCGCATCTCCGCAACATATCCTGGTAGGTTAGCGCCCGCACGACGCATTGGCTCTGTCTATGCTCCGATTCAGATATGTGAGACACCGTCGATAACCTTCGTTTTTGCTGTGGTCGCGCTCAAGTATCTATGCATCTAAAGAGCGTCAATAAAAGGTTGTGAAAGCGTCGTCAAACAAGCACTGAAGAATCGCCAGGCTACCCTTTTCGTCGACCGCATAACGGGTGAAAGTGAATCGAGTCTATTCACATTTCGACACAGCAAAGCAGGGATAGACCGAGGCTGCAGATGATTCAGACTTCCTGCCCGCAATCACGTCGTGGAAGAGAAAAAAAAAGTCTGAAGTTCGAATGCTTGCAGCGCGAGTCAGAGCATGTATCACCGGTAGAAGGATGATGTCGATCTTGCTGAGTCATGGACTACCCTGCCAATTTTCGCTTGCAGTATATCCGCATTATCTTTGCAATTAGATACAAAAACTGACAATATATATTAAATATTTGAGAAATTAGTCATCAACTATAGCATGGGCCGATAACTCAGTGGTAGAGTGTAGGTTTGCAGCCCATCAAAGCCGTCTGCCCGAAGTCACCGGTTCGACTCCGGTTCGGCCCTGTTCTTTTTGTTTTTTGTTTACTCATGCAGGCTACTTGTACCATGAAGATTTTTTTTGTTCTTTGCTCCGGACGGCTCCTAATCGCCAAAGCTCGGTTGGATCCAAGGGCGGGTCTTAGCCACATCCCTCGTCTCGATACCTCGGGGAAGGTCATCGACCACGCATGACTCGAAAATCCGGGAGCGTACCGAAATGTACGCGGAAGATTATTTGTACAAGCCCGCTATTCGTTTCACTTCGCTATCACGTCCCCTGTACTCAAGGAAGCGCGACCGTAGCGTCATGGTTTTTGCACTCTATTGAAGCCTTGCATACTTGTCTGCTTCCGTCTACACGCGATACGCGTCCACACTGCAACTATGTCGATCGAAGGAAAGGTCATCGTGATCACCGGAGCAGCGTCAGGCATAGGCCTCGAAACCGCCCGTCTCCTCGCCAGCAAAGGCGCCAAACTATCGCTCGCCGATGTGCAAGAGAAGCCGTTGAAGGATCTTGAAGTCGAGCTCCAGCAATCGGGCGTCCAGGTCATCGCCCACGTCGTCGATGTCAGCAAACGCAAAGATGTCGAAAGTTGGATCGCAGCAACAGTGGAGAAGTTTGGGAAGCTGGACGGTGCGGCGAACCTCGCTGGTGTCATCGGCAAGCAAAGCAGTATCGCCAGCATCGAAGAGGTCGAAGATGACGACTGGGACTTCATCATGGGCGTCAACGTCAATGGATTGCGAAACTGCCTGCGCGCGCAGGTGCCGCACATGAACCAGGGAGGCTCCATAGTCAACGCATCCAGCATTCTGGGTCTGATCGGTGCGCCAAAACAGCTCGCGTACTGCGCGTCAAAACATGCTGTCGTTGGCATGACGAGAGCGGCTGCGAAAGAGCTGGGACCCAAAAACATCAGAGTGAACTGCATTTGCCCGTAAGTCGTCTTATTCGTCATTGAATGGGCGTGCTGACAGTGGGTAGGGGACCTATCGATACGCCAATGTTGAGGAAGTCGTATGAGATTCAGGGCACAGTGGTCGATTACAGCTGGCTACCCTTAGGAAGGGCCGCAGACACTAAGGAAGTACCGCCACTCATCGAGTTTCTCATCTCCGACGCAACGTCGTTCATCACTGGGAACGCGATGCCGATAGATGGCGGGTGGCACTGCTAGATGTAAGATTCTGCGATGTACAGCAATCTTGATCATATCCATCCAAGCACGCTTCCCAGCATTCGCCTTGTCTGGTTCTGAATGAACAAATTATCCGGGAAAATTATCTCGTGCTCACTGAGTTTTTTATAAGTGCGCGCCACAGCTGGGGTTGAGTTGTATGTGGTTGAGGATATGAAGGCGGTGCAATGGCTTGTTCGGCAGTTTAGACTCCTTTCGCAATTAGAAGCTGACCATGAATCTTCTCATACCGTCGTGTACTTGTCTACAATACGATGTCAATATGTGGCAAGCATCGTTGTGCCTGCTTGGTGAACCTGGAGGCAGGTGCAAGGGTCGTTGATGAGAATCCGAATCTGCGCGCCCGCGTTCTCCTCGCGTTCTCTTCACCTGCTGCACTCCACGACCATGACATAGCCATGATATAGCCATTACAACCCAATCGATTGGCGTGATCGGTACATCTACTTGTACTCAACAATGGCAGCATGCTCCGCAATTGTAAGAAGCCTGGCCTGCAGGTCAGCTGGCTTTTGGGCGCTGGACACGTCTCTGCCATCACTTCACTACGGCCCACTGTTGTTAACGTCTACGCGCAAAGATCTCTTCATTTGATGGACGCTTCTCGTTATCCAGCGAAGTTGGGCTTGTGCGTTATTGTGCCCCCTCAGACCCCTCATTTTAGCCTACCAGACTTCTTCGGTCGGATATCGGGATCCCTTACCCGTTGCTCTATAATAGAGCATTACATCGGGCCAGACGAGGTATTTCAACTTTTAGACATTCACCAGAATTGCTGACTGTATCGTAACTCGTTCAATATATACCTGCAACACATACGTTCATCGCACTATGGCATCCATCAATCAACCGCTGAACGGCAAGATACTACTCGTCACGGGAGGCGCATCCGGTATGCTCAGCATTCAGATCACGACTACAACTCTTAACCTTCGCAGGAATCGGGCTATCCGTCACAAAACAAGCCCACGGCCTAGGCGCAAAAGTCCTCGTCGCAGACCTCAAAACCACACCAGACTTTGACGCTTTCGCTAGCGGCAAAGACAACATTCTGTACATGCAAGCAGACGTAACGCACTGGCCGGACTTCGACAAGATCTTCAACGCATGCGAAAAGAAATGGAATGATGTGCCCGATGCATATGCAATTTGTGCTGGCCTTTTCGATCCGCCATTCTCAAACTTCTGGCAGGATCCAGAGCAGGAGAGCGGGTACAAGCAGGTCGATGTCAATGTGAACCATCCCATCAAACTGACGAGATTGGCGTTGAGGAAGAGCTTGGGCAAGGGCAAGAGAGCGAGTGTATGCATTATCGTAAGTATATCCAGTAAGAGAGACTGTCAGCAATGCAGTACGACTGAGTAGAGACTAATGCAACCCCAGGCATCGTTCGGCGGCATAGCAGGCAGAATAGCCTCGCCCCTCTACTGCGCCACAAAGCACGCCATGGTAGGCTTCGTAAAATCCATGAAAGACACCGAACCCCTCACCGGAGTCAAAATCACTACACTGTGCCCCACCGGCGTATTCACGCCGCTTTTCGACGCAGCAAAGATAAAGCAGTATTCCGCCACAGCAGCCCGCTTTCTCACCCCAGATACATGCGCAACACATTTACTCGACCTGCTGCAGAAGAAGGAGTACCCTTGTGGTAGCGTTCTGGAAGTCACTCTGGCAGGGAGCAGGGTAATTCCCGAATGGAACGTGGCGCCGCCGCAGGGTGAGAGCTCGGGGCAGGAGACGAAGGACGAAGATCTCATTCGCAACTTGCTGGAGCCTATTAAGAAGGTGTTGGAGTCTGAGAAGCCAAAGTTGTGAGGCCATGCAATGTAACATCAAGTGTTTCATTGCGCGTAAAATAAAATAAAAATACAGCCCAGAGAAGACCTTTGCAAACCTCAAATTCAAAAAAAAGATAAAATCGACAAATCAGTACCAACCAATACCACACGCACATAGCAAATCGTAAAAAACCAAATCGCGAAACGACAGCCTGAATACATCCGCCACGTGGTGGGGGGGTTCCCCCTACAACCCGTCTCCTGTATACCCCTTCCCTAACTTCCCCACATACCAGGCTCGTAATCCCCCAATCCCCTCTCCACCTTCTCGTCCACCTTGAAGACCCTCTTCTCCTTGGCGCAAAACTTGCACAGCCAAGGATTGAACTTGCAAAACTGGAGGCACACGCTCATCTTCGCTCTTTTCGCGACATCCTGGTCCTCGGCGGGGATCGCGCTCGCCGTCATGTTGGCGGTAGTGGTGGTGGTGGTGAGGGAGCCGGCCGCGGAGAGGATTAGGACTCCGGCTGCGAGGGTGACGAAGATGGCGAGGAGGAGAGTGGTGAGCTGCATTGTTATTTGGAAGTGGTGGTGTTGGTGGGTTGGTGAGAGTTTGGTGTGTAGTTGGAGTTTGGTTTGGAGTTTGAAGTCTGTACTGGATGAAGTAAACGGAGCGAGGGAGGATGGGGCTTCATATACTTGTCCAGATAGTACTTATTTGGGCCGAGAAGATACTGTACCGTGGGCGTAGAGAGTATTGAGATTTGCTACCAGATTTCATTTTTCATTTTTCATTCTTTCCCGGAGTTTTTAGATCCATGGTACTAGGCGTACAACCACAGCTCAGCCAACAACACGAGGCATAGTGAGACGAGTAGAAATATCAGCAAATTGTTCTGCAGAATCCTGGAAGCCTTCGCGGAACTATGCCGTATTCATCTTTTCCTAAAAGTGTTGAGGAGGCATCCAGGTTCCTGTACATGCAGACATACCCATCCACCACCACCTTACTGTTTTCGACACTACCACTTCCCGCCCTTGCCAAAGCTCTGCTTTAAGTACCCCTTAAATGGCGTGATCGTCACATCGGGAAACAACGCATTATGAATCTGACTCTTCGGACGAACAAACTCGCCCTTACCCTGGGTCCCCTTTACCAGGTACCAAAAGTCCACCGAGAACGAACGCTCGGTATAATCCTTGGGTGCCTTCTTCAGATTCACCCAGACCTCATGCAGTGCATCCACGCCTTGCACATCCAGTCCCACCTTCTTGCCCGTGTACTTTTCGAGCAGTCGGCGATCCTGGAATGCGAGATTGTATCACTGACACAACGTTGAGATACTGGTTCTCTGATCTCAGGGGCCCGAGCAGTGTGGCTACCAGAAAGTTTGCAAAGTCGTCCAAGTGGGCGTATTCGGCTTCCACATCTGGATCGCCGATGACGTGGATGGTATACTAGTTGACTGAACAGAGTTGTCAACAAGCAAGTCAATCAATCAATTTACTTGATAATGGACCATAAAGTGGTCCGTGACACTGTGCATGTACCATAGAGGGGTCCGTTATCAAGCAAATTGATTGATTGACTTGCTTGTTGACAACTCTGCGACTGAACTTGGGGATTGCGTCCAAGGACACCAGATCTTCTCGCGCTCTTGGTTGTAGAAGTCGCCACAGCTGACCATGGTGAAGCTCCTCTTCCCTGAGCGGATAGCGGGATGGATGGTCGCACGTTCGTTTGCTTTAGCCCATGTTAGTTGCCGTTAATCTGATAGGAGTGTGCGCGACTTACGGTGCTTTCGTGTTCCGCGCTGGATGAATGCATCCCATGGGATCGTTTGGCTTCCGGTAGATTCCATTGAACTCATACTCGCTTGGGTAGAAGCGCTTCACGCCTGCATCGGCAGCAGCATCCTGGATAGTTGCTTGAGCATCCAGCGCTGGCCCAACCAGTGCGCTGAACATGGCATCCACCCTGTTGGGATTCTTAGCTATGCAGTCGCGGTCCGCCTTCTCTGCATCGGAACCTTTGGCGTT